CCTCCCCCGAGCACGCTGTCCGTCGTGGCTCCTGCGGGTGACGCTGCCTGGACCCGCTGCCAGTGGGGGGGGGGGTGTGTGGCTGCGCTCTGCCTGGGGGGGCCACACGCGCGCACACGCGCACCTCGGGGCCGCCTCCCGCAGACGCTGCCCTGTCCCTGCAGGTGAAGGAGCTCGGCGTCATCATCTACAACTGCAGCCGCCTGGCCCGGGACCTGGAGAAGACCTTCCAGACCTACTGGGTGCTGGGGGCGCCGAAGGCCGTCCTCCCCAGAGCCTGGCCTCGGAACCTCTCGTCCCACATCAACCGCTTCCAGCCCCTCCGGGACCGCTTTGAGGGGGTGCCCACCACTGCCTACTTCTCGGTGAGAGGGGCTGAGGAGCCGGCCAGACCCCCAGGGAGGTCTGGGGCAGGTCCTCGGGGCACCGGTCTGGGGGGCCGGGGAGGGGAGGGACCCAGCTGCAGGGGAGGATGCCAGTCATCACCGTCCATGGGAGACAGGCAGCCTGGGAGGTGGCAGGGTGCCCTGGGGTCCTGGGGCGGGGGGGGGGGGGGGGGCGGCCTGCCGGCTTCCAGGCTCTCCCGCCAAGACTGGGGGCCGCCCCGAGTCTCCCCCCCTCTCCAGGCAGCACCTCTCGGTTTCCTCCAGGTTCCCAAACGCTGGGGCGGGGCGGGGGGTGGGGCGCACGCTAGGGTCACAGGTCCAGAAAGCGCGCGGCTCGGCTCGGGGCCGACCGGCCGTGCCCTCAGGGACCCCCTCCCCGAACAGGCATCGCCTCCTCCGCTCTGCCCGCACGGCCGCACCGGGGACCTGGAGGCGCTGCTGGCGGTGATGGGGGGCGCCCAGGAGTTCATCTACGCCTCGGTGATGGAGTACTTCCCCACCACGCGCTTCAGCCGCCCCGCTAGGTGGGTCCGGGTGGGAGCCCGGCGGCCCTGCAGGGTGGAGGCCCCTCCGCTGCCGTTCCCCGTCCCGCGGGGGCCCCTGCCCGCCCGCAGCTGGCAGGCAGGGACCCCGCCGGCCCAAGACCCCGACCCTGCCTCCCCCAGGTACTGGCCGGTGCTGGACACCGCGCTGCGGACAGCGGCCTTCAACAGGGGCGTGCGCGTGCGTCTGCTGGTCAGCTGCTGGCTGCACACAGACCCCAGGATGTTCCCCGGCCTGCGGTCCCTGCAGGCTCTCAGCGACCCCGAGGCCGGCGTCTCCGTGGACGTGGTGGGCACCCACTCCCTGCGCGGGACGGGACGCGGGGGGCGGGGCGGCCCCGCCCCTTCCTGACCCGCCCCCTCTCCGTTCCCCAAAGAAAGTCTTCATTGTGCCTGTGAGGAACCACTCTAACATCCCGTTCAGCAGGGTGAACCACAGCAAGTTCATGGTCACAGAGAAGGTGGCCTACATAGGTGAGCAGCGAGGGCGGTGGGCGGTGGGCTCGGGCCCGGGCGTCCCCGGGCCCTCGAGCCTTTCCGGGTGCCAACTGTACGGGACGCGGGGGCCACATAAACCCACAGAAGGGGGCCGTGGCCCTCGAGCGTGGCCGGGCCGGGGTGCCGAAGGCGACACTGCCCTTCTGTCCAGCGGGGGCCCCTCAGGGCCGAGGGCTAGGGTGCCCGGCGGGGCTCCGAGGACCAGGCGGCCAGCCCCGCTGCGACCCGGCCCCACAGGCAGGTGGTGAGTCCTGAGCACAGGGTTGTCAGAGCCCTGAGTCCCACCCGTCCCAGGAGGTTGTGGGTGGAGCCTCACACACACACACACACACACACACACACACACACACGAGGGGCCCTTGCCCCGCCCCCAGCCGCACCTGAGGGGACGCCAGCGGCCGTGCACACCTGTCCCCGAAGCTGTGGCTGAGCCACACGCCTGGGCCAGGCGGCAGAGTCCCTGTGCGAGCCCGGTCATCAGGGACTCTTCCCCACCCCACCCCCCACAGGCACCTCCAACTGGTCGGAAGATTACTTCAGCAGCACCTCAGGGGCAGGCCTGGTGGTCAGCCAGAGGGCCTCCCGCGCTCGGCCGGGCGTGCCCACCGTGCAGGAGCAGTTACGGCACCTGTTCGAACGGGACTGGGATTCCCCCTACGCCGTGGGCCTCGACGGACAAGCCCAGGGTCAGGACTGCGCTTGGCAGGGTTGAGGTCCAGCCACACCTGATTCCCCGGCCCCATGGCTCCCGGTGGCCTGTCCCCACCCTCACAAGCCCTGCTCAGGGCCAGGACTTCCCAACTCCTAGCGGGTGCAAACTGTCTGCCAGCCCTCAGCTCTCTGAGCCATCCCCTCTTAAACCTCGCCTCCTGCAGGGAGCCCTCCGGGATGCTCCCCCCTGATCTGAGAGCCACAGTCCCCACCCACGAGGGGGGTCGCTTCAGGGGCCCCCTGCACCTCCCTGCCTCTCTGTGTGAGTCCCACATGGGCTGCACCCCCTCCCGCTGGCCCCAGGTCGGAGTTCAGCACCCCCGACCCTGTGAGGGTCCACACGGCTGCCGTCTGCCCGTGTGCCAGGGAGCCGCTGACTCTCGCTGCTGTCCGGTCCCTGCCCACAGGAACCAGGGGACGGGGCAGAGGCAGGCGCCGGGACAGGGGCACCCAGCACTGTGAGGGCGGGCCTCGGAGAGGCGAGGTGGGCGCCTGGGCCCGTGGGGTGGTCCTGGTGCGCAGGGGGTCCAGGACTCCGGGCAGCGTCCAGAGACCCTGGTTTTGCGCAGGGGGTGGGGGCAGGGTGGGGACCTGGATACACGCGGGCTGGAGCCCCCTGTCCTGGGAGCTGCCCTGCAGAGGCGGAGGCCGGCACTGCAGAGGCAGGGTCCGAATCCCGTCGGACACCTCCCTCGGCCCCCAGCCCCCTGCTGGACCAGAGGCCTGTCTCCGGGCACCCTGGCCTCCGTCACCTCCTGCCTTCTGGCCAAGGCCTTGGAGCCCACCTGGCCCGTGGAGACCCTGTGGCTGCCCTGGGCTGGCGCTTGGGGCTGGCTCAGTGGTCCAAGGGACACTGGACGCCGAGGGACCTAAGGGAGTGGATAGCAGATCCTCCTCTCCCCACATCTTGGGGCTCCTCCTCCCTGCCTCGCCCGGTCCCCTCTGCCCCGGAGAGAGCCAGACGGGCTGGGGTGGGGCACCTTACGCATCCGCATCCTCGTCGGTGAAGAGGGTCCCCCAACCCAGCCCGCCTCCCCGCCCAGCCCTGCACGGGTCCGGAGGGGGGTGCCTGGGGTAGCCCTGCAAGGCGTCCAGGACCTCTGGGAGCTGGTCTGCGTGTGGGCCGCACTTGACCCAGCCAAGCCCCAGCGGCTGCCCAGCCTCCCACCCCGGGGCTCACGTGCCGCAGGGCAGCTCCCCTCGGGAGACCCGCTCTGCTCTCCACGGCTGCCGGTGTGGGTTTGCCCTCTGCTTCCTGTGTGTCTCAGAGCGCGTGGCCTGTCCCCAGGCTCTGTGCCCCAGGCCACGCTGGGATGACGGGTCCAGTGGCCCCGTGGCCATCAGCCAGCGGAAGTGGTGGCCACACCTCGGTGGCAGGCTTGAAGGCCTGCTCCAAAGCAGACCCCACGGGAGACCCAGCTTGACGAGCCTCAAGAGACGCCCCGGGGGGCCTTGATGCGGCTGCTTCTGGGGGGGGGGTGGACACACTCTAAAATGGCCCCCGTGCCCCCACCTCCCGGAACCCACACTCCCGTGTGATCCCCTCCGCTTGGGGGTGCGGAACCCCTGCCTTCGCCTGTAGCCAATAGAACGTGCGGCGGTGGCCGTGCGACGCAAGCTTGAGCCGGCGTCTTGCTGGGAGTCTGTTCCTTGCGGGCGTGAAGAAGCAAACCGCGAGGCCAGGGCGGCAGGGCGCTTTCGGTGCCCCGGGCACACGGAGCTGCCCCGCTGAACGGTGCCAGCCACGAGAGCCCAGCCCCGGCTCGCAGCCTGTGGGGCCCTGAGCAGAGGACCCAGCTGAGCTGTGCTCGGACCCCCGACCCACAGGGAGGGACCGGGAGGTCTTAAATGCACATTGTCTTCGGCGGCCGGTCTGTGGGAGCACGGGGACGCGGCCCGGGTGGGTCCACGCAGCATCGAGGCCCCGTCGGGAGACTCTGCGGCCCCTCCCGCCTCCGGCGCCAGGGCCCCGGGGCCTCGGGTCTTGACCCCAGCTTCAGGGGAGGCGAGACCCCCGTGGAGTCAGGCAGACCCCTGCGTGCGGGGTCCCCAGGAGGGCCGCACACACCGTGTCTGCAGGACGGATGGGAGAGGGAGGCTGCCGGCGCCTGGACGGTGGGCTGGCCTCACTGGACTTTTGGGACAAAGACCCCACCGACCTCCTTCTCCGTCCTCATTCATGACCTGCCCAGAGGCCTCGTGCCCACTTGCCAGAGCGTTTCACATCCCCTGACTTGGGTGGCTCGCCCAGCCCGCCGCAGGGAAAGGCCCGCGTGTGCGGGGGCGAGGGGGAGCGCCCCAGCCCCGCTCCTCCCTGCCAGGGCAGCACCGCGTGGGGGGCTCCCAGCCCAGCTCTTCTTCGCTGCTGCACCCTCCCCTCAGCCCGAGAGCAGCCCTTCCTCTCAGGGGGCGAGGTGGCGGGTCTCCGGGAGCCAGCAGGGGCAAGGAGAGAGGGGAGAGCGGGCGGGTGCCGCGGGCAGAGGAGGGGGGTGGAGAGCTGACACGGGGGTGGGGGACCCTGGAGCCTCACTCTGCTGCCCCCCATGTGTTCCCCGTGGCTGCTGGGAAGGAGGTGAAGGAAGGCCTCCCAGAGGGCCTGTCACAGCCAGCTGCCCTGCTCTGTCCCTGTCCTTCCCGCCGAGCAGTGGCAGCGTGGCCGCACTGAGCTCCCGGCCTGCGCCTCCTTCCTTTCGGTCTCTCACAGCCGCTGACTCGGGAAGGATCTGACGGACACGCGGGTAAGCGAAGGTCTGCTCTAAGGTCCCCCCCCCCCCCCGAACTCTCTCCCACGGCAACTCGGCCCAGACTGGTTCTGGGCGTGCGTGGGGAGCGCGAGCGGGACACAAGACCTCGCAGCCAGTGCTGTGGGTGCATCCCGTCCTTTATTGCCCATCTGGGGACAGCCAGGGAGCTTCCGCGGGAGGCCTGGTGGCAGCGTGTGCGCGAAGGGGCTCGGGGACCGCGCGGGGCCGTGCAGGCACGGACGGGTGCCCCCTCGGCTGGCTCACCCGCCCGCAGCCACCTCCCTCCGCCCCGCGTGCGTGTGTCGCGTGTCGTCCCCAAGCTCGCCTGGGTGAGGCCGGGAGTGAGCTCGTGACAGGCAAGCAGGTGGGGGGGGGGGCTTCCTGGAAGGCGCCAGACTCCACCTGAGACGGGGCAGGACCAGACAGGGGCCACAGGACAGCGAAACTACTTCTACACCCTCCGCGGCCCCCCTACCCCGGAGGTCCCCACAGGGCTCCCGCCCCGGAGGGCCACGTCCGTCCGGGCACCGCCGCCTTGCGCCTCAGTCCCGTGGGGCCGCGGGACGGGAGCACCGTACGCGGCGGGGCCTCTGCCTCGGGATTTCGTTTGGGCGCCCGTCCTCCGGGGAAGGGTCTCCCCTGCCCGGCCCTCATTCGCTGCCGGGCCTGGGCTCCGGGGCCCGGCTGGCGGCTCCGTCCCCCTCCGGCAGGATCAGCTCGGTTCTCGCCGCGGAGGCCACCATCGCCCCGGAGCCCGCGGCCTCCGCCGACCCTCCCTCTTCCTGCTCCTCGGGGGAGAAGCTTTCTCGGGCGTCAAAGAAGGTGCCTGCCTCTTCCTGGAGGTGCTGCTCGGCCGGACCCGCCTCCGCCTCCGCGCTCTTGCTTTTCTTGGCGGGAGACGAGGAGAAGCCCAACCTGGGCAATCGAAACCAGCCCGCTCTCTCCTGCGGGTACGGCGGCCGCGCCTCGGGCTGCGTCTGGACCGGAGCGGGTGTCGGGGCTTCGGCCTGGGGGTCAGTGCTGGCCTCGGCAACAGAGGAAGAAAACCCGATGCTGGGGAGCCAAAACCGGAACAGGCCGGAGGACCTTTTACCTTCTGCTTTGGCTCTGGGGGCCCCGTCCTCCTCTGCCAGGGCAGCCGCCGCCTCCCGGCCCTCTTCCGGCGGGAACTCGAGAATTTCCGCGGGCTCCTCGTCAGAACAGCTGTCTGCAGGCCCATGGCCAGAATGGAGGTCAGAAGAGCAGGCTGGCGTTCCCGGCACGTCTCCATCGGGAGAGAGAATTTCAAAGGGCTCTCCGGTGTCGGGCTGCGGGTCTCCAGAAACAGGTCCTGCTCCTGGGGCTGGCTGGTGAAGGCGCCCTCCTGGCCCAGGGTCCGCAGTCACCGCGTGTGCCTGCGACCGAGCGGTGGGCTCAGGGACCCTCCCCTTTAGTAAGGAGAACCCGTAGGAAGGCGTTTGGGCCTCTGACGCAGGGACCTCTGACTCCCGCACGATCCGGGCAGGAAGAGCCCGGGGCTCCGAGAGCTCCGTGTACACGGCTGTCACCGTGCTTTGTACGGTGACCTGCCTGCTCTCGGCCTCCGCGCTCTGAATGTGCACCCTGACCTTACAGATGGGGGCGGCTTCTGAGGAGCCGGCCTCGGGCGCCTTCAGGACGCCGGCGTCCCGGGCGCCGGGGCTTTGCCCGAGCAGGGCAGTGTCAGGATGGCTCCGTGGGGACGGCAGCTCTCTGACACGGGGCACGAAAACGTCAGCCTCCGCGCTGGGGGCTGGGAAGCTGAACCTCGGAACCTTTAACTTGGGGAACTGGACAGTGAGCACAGAGTCCTCCCAGACTTGACCCACGTTGACCACGAAACCCTGGGACGGCACGTCGGTACTGGAGGCCCTCAGTCTGAGGGGGCCTTCGGGCTGGGGAGGCGGCTCCTCAGGGCCCCCGGCCGGGCCCTGCGCTGCTGCTGTCCCAGCAAGGGGGCGCTGGCCTGCTTCTCCTGGAGGCCCGTGGGGCTCTGCGAGTGTCCCGCACACCCGGAGGGGCAGGGAGCCTGCGCCTGGCCGGACCCTGACCTCGGGAGTGGACGTGCCGGCAGCAGGGGCCTGAGGGTCTAGATTCCTCTGCGGAACGTCCGTGTGAGAAGCTTCGATGCCAGTGGCTCCCACGTCGGCACCGGCCTCCAGGGGCTGCGGGCACTTAGTCGTCTCCTCCTCGGACTCAGGAACAGGGACACCCTGACTCCGGACTGCGGTCGGTGCCTGTCCCTCCCCTGGCGCACTGGTGGCAGGCGCGGGCCCCTGAGCCCCCAGCCCTGCAGACCCAGGCATCTCCTTGGAGGGGCGCCTGAAGCTGGGCAGACGCAGCGCGGGCATTCTAAACCAGCTCTCCCTGGGGCCGGCCGGGGTGACTCCCGCTGGCGCCTCCCGCGCTGGGCTCCCCTCCGTGGGGGAGGCGGCATCTGGGGTTGTCCGGGACGGCTGCAGGGGGACCTCTGTTGAGGGGGCCATCACCTCCCCACAAAGCTGGCTTTGCGAGCTGTCCCCGAGACCGTGCTCTCTGCTACTGTCTCCGAGGGACGGGCCACGGGTGGACAGGCTCGCCTCCGGCGGGGCCTCGGCGGGTCCGAGCGCATCTTCGACGAAGCCGGCACCGGGAGCGTGGGCCTGTGTGGGGTGGAGGGTCACGTCCGCTCCTTCTGGGGGCCCAGCTGCTGCACCTGCACCCCCGCCCCCGCCACTTCCGCCGGCCCCTCCTGTGGAAGCCGTCATTGTGGGAGGTGAGACCTTCAGTAGGGCGAGGGCGGGTGCTCTGACCACCCCCTTCTCTCCCTCCTGCCCAAGACTCACATCCTCACCTGCTGCTGCTGGTGGCAGGGAAACCCCCGGTGGCGGGGCGGCTCCAGGGGCTGCTTTGGACTCCGCCCCCTTTTTGGGGGACCAGCGGAAAGAGGGAAGCTTGACTCTTGGTGCTCTCACAGGACCACCCCTCCCCTCAGGCTCCGCGTCTCCGGCTGGGGCTTCCCCTCCAGCCACTGCTGATGTCCCCGCGGTGCCCACATGTCCCTCTGCCACCGTGGACACAGAGACTCCTGCAGATGGCAACTGACTGCCTGGCAAGGGGAACCCCGTGGCTTCCCTGGCCGAGGAGTGCGGTCCCCACTCAGGGAGGGGAGGGGACAGGGCGGGGACACCCTCTGCAGCTCCGGGCTCCGCCATGCCAGCTGCTGATTGGGGGGATGACAGTTGGAACTTTGGTCGATGAAATTTAGGAAAAGTCACGCGGCCATAAGATTCAGGAAATACAGTGTGCACTGGGCCACTGTGGCCGTCAGGCCGGGACAGCAGAATATTCTCGCTGGATGGGGAGTCCACGGCACCGGCCACGCTGGGCAACTGAGACTCCGCCTGGGACCCAGACAGGCCTACACAGGGCAGCTCGGGGGACGCGGGGTCACGGGGGATGGTCACCTGGTACTTTGTAAGTGTGACGTCCTCACCCAGAATGAGGCTAGAGGAATCCCCACGGGGACCACTGAGCCAGCCGGGCCGGGACTCCGGCAGGGAAGTTTCAGAAGTACTGGACAGCCCCGGGGACCCGCCATGCGCAGACTCGATCGGAGGCGAACGCATGGCAACATCTCCTCCAAAAGCTAAGAACACTTTAGGGGTTTTCCCAGGTGGAGAAAAGACTTTGGGGAGTTTAAAATGGGATTTTTTGCTTTTGCTTCGACTTCCATCTTTCCCAATTGAGAGACCTACGTCACCTTTGACTGTGACGGCATCCTCATCACGAGCACGTACGACGGGATGCATGGGGCCAGGAGAAGGACTGAGGTCAACATCTTTGGCAATTCCCTCAACAGGTGGAGAGACCAGAGAGGACTTACTACTGGGGAGACCAGAAGAAGAAATGTTGATTTTAGGAACCTTCAACTTGCTTCCTTTAGAAAACAGTTCCAGGTTCCGAGAGGACATTTCCACATCTGACTTAGTCCTGGGAGACCGGGCGTCCACGTCCACGCTGGGCAGGGTCACATCCATGTCGGGGGCGCTCAACTCCCCTCTGGCGGTCTTCACGTCCAATGTAGGGCCCTTGATGTCCACCTGGGGCGCCTTAAAGTCCACTTTGGGCATCTTCACGCTGGGCATGTGCACCTTGGGCACGTGCGCTTTCAGTCCGGCTCCTGCCGAGGGTTCCTGGGGCTCCCCCTTGGGCATTTCGATCTCCGGGAGCTTGTCGGCTACGATGGCAGTCTTGAGTTCTTGGTCAGCATATGGCAGCTCAACGGAAACATCACTGGACTTGACCTCAGCTTCCATGGAGGGCAGGGACACTTCCGCCTGGATCTTGGGCAGGGACACGTCCACCGCAGCCTCCAAGGACTTGTTTGGCGCTGAGGCACCGAAGGACGGCATCTTGAACTTGGGCATTTTGAACTTGCTGTCTCTAGCAGTCACCTCCTTGTCTCCCAGGGTAATGTCACCCTCCAACTTGGCCGTGGGTGCCTGGACGTCCACGTCTGCACTAGGCAGAGTCACATCCACATCGGGCGCGGTCACCTCCCCTTTGGGGCCCTTCAGATCCACCTTGGGTCCCTTGATATCCACCTTGGGGGCCTTGATGTCCACCTGGGGCGCCTTAAAGTCCACTTTGGGCATCTTCATGCTGGACATGTGCACCTTGGGCAGGTGCCCTTTGACTCCGGCTCCTGCCGAAGGTTCCTGGAGCTCCCCTTCAGGGATTTGGCCTTCTGGAAGCTTCATGCCCACCATGGCAGTCTTGACCTCTAGGTCGGCAGATGGCAGCTCAACGGTCACATCCCTGGTCTTGACCTCAGCTTCCATGGAGGGCAGGGACGCTTCCGCCTGGATCTTGGGCAGGGACACGTCCACCGCGGCCTCCAAGGGCTTGCTTGGCGCCGAGGCACCGAAGGATGGCATCTTGAACTTGGGCATTTTGAACTTGCTGTCTCTAGCGGTCACCTCCTTGTCTCCCAGGGTAACGTCACCCTCCAACTTGGCCGTGGGTGCCTGGACATCCATCTCCACACTGGGCAGGGTCACATCCACGTCAGGGGCGCTCACCTCCCCTTTGAGTCCTTTGATATCCACCTTGGGCCCTGTGATGTCCACCTGGGGGGCTTTGATGTCCACTTTGGGCATTTTGATGCTGGGCATGTGCACCTTGGGCAGGTGCCCTTTGAACCCGGC